GTGCGAAATGGCGTCATTGAAAAGGTCTCTATGACGTTTATCGAACGAAAAAAAAAACGAAGAGTATGATTTAAATTTTGCGTGAAGTCTCAATGTCTGAGGCAAGTATTATGAGCCCTGTTGGACAAGAAATTGAAGAGCCTTTGAACAGTTCGATATTGTTCAATAGCGATTCAACATGCTCTTCATTAGAGCTTTCTCAAAATTCGATAGCAACGGAAGGAAACTGTTCCGATGCGAACATGGATTTTCAAATTGACCGTTTCTCTGCTTCCGATACAGAGGCCGACTCTGCAATTATACTGTTGAAAAGTCTAAATAGCGAATCGCCTTCATCGTCGTTTGTTTCCCGTCGCAATGACAATTCTGCTATCCTTAGACTAAACAACGAATTACTGAAAGCAAAGAGAAGCAACTGGGAAGTGTTGGACGCTTTGGGAAAAGCTTATGAAGACATCAAGAATCTCCGATTGCGGGAGCAAAGGCTGAATGCAATCTTGTCTACCAGCAACGGCAAACGCGTTGATGCAAACGGTTTTCCTGAAAGCCTTTCATCACCTGACAGTAAAATTATTGAACTTCAACTTGCCTTAAGAAGAGAAGAATCCATTAAAACGAGAGAAGATTTGCGAACAATGATAGAGGAACGCGACAAATTAAAAGAAAAACTCGGAAAGAGCGAAAGCGATCGAAGACTGATCTCGCTTACAAGCGATCAGCGCGCAAGAGAGCTCGAGATTTCTCAGAACTATATTAACGATTTAACAGCTAATATCAAAGAGAAAGATGCTAAAATATTTTCAGCTCAGGACAAGTTAATTTCTTTGGAGCTTCAAATAAAAACGAAAGATGAGGAAATGGAGAAAATCAGTGAAGAGAAAAATAATCTGCGCGACGCAGTGATTCGGAGCGAGCAAGAAATAGAATTTCTGACAGAAACATTACGAAAGCTATCGCTTCCCAAACAGGAACATGCGAAGTGTTTTACTAAGGGTAGAGATCATACGCAGGAAAGTCAAACTTTTGACCAGTCTGACGGGAAAGTCAGCTATGTTGAGGAAAATACGGAGAACTTCTTTAGGGATGAAACGAGACTTGAAAGGGGAATGCAGTATCTGGAATCAAGACATAACCAAGACATGAAAATCATCCAGGAGTTGAGTTCCAAGCTTAAAGAGTGGGAAAGGTTTGTATTTAACATAGATATTGCCTTGACTTACTAAAATGCAATATCGTACTGTCCACCATATTGAATCTAAATTAATATTCACAGCTGTATTGATCCTGGTTTGAAATACTCGACACGGTAATGAACTGACCCAAAGAAAGTTTAATAGTTGTTTCTGAGGTGTGTTTTGCCTTTTCAGATCCCATTTCTTATGAAATAAGAAAAACTAAGATATGCAGAAAAAATCTTTTCCTTTTTATAAATGAAAAGTCACCTTAATCAAATTTTCATTTGTTGCACTCGAGTACACTAGCTTGACGTGTATGTCAAAAACACGCGTTCAAAACCTTTGTCTTTGTTTATCAAATCCTGATGAAGAAAGTGATTTATTCAAAATTGATTGGGAAGATTTTTAATTTTTGCAAAAACTTCGTCGTTCTATGCACGATTGATAGGAGGGGAAATACGAAGCTTTTTGATTAGCTTGACCTGCCATGACATATTGCTCTTTTATTGAAAATGAGTAAATTATTTTGTCATTGGTTAATATATACTGAAAACTCTGGTCAATAATGAAAAAGACACAAGGTTTAACTGCGGAGACCCTTTAGACTGTGGTGATTTGGCTTTGCTAAAAAACAGGCCAGGGGTATGGCCTATAGTAATCGCACAATTGAAAACGGCCCTGAGAGCTAAAATAATTGGAAAATAGCGGATCGTTTTCTTCTGAACAGAATGTGAAGTTGTAAGAAAAACTCTCTAATTTTGCAGAAGAAAACTGAATCATCTTGTCAAGTGCCCTGAGAGAACGTATCCAATTTGTTGGCATTTTGACCCTCACTGCAGAAAGCTCTTTTCAAAAGCTAACCTGTTTCGGTCAGAATTAAGTCGGATTGTGGGGATTACGTTCTTGGATACAATACTGAAGTTTTGTCATCACAACGTAAATTTAACAAAAATCCATCTGCTTTTATCGACCAAAATAAAAATATCTAGAGCCTCAATATGTTTTATTATCGACATACTAACATTGTCCATTGTTGCTATTGACCTTTCAAAATATGACTAATTAAAATCGCTTTTCTCAGAATTCAAGTCTCTCGTCCAGCAAGCACTGTCAATAAAAAAAGTTAACGAAGAAATCATGTACACTTTTACTCAACGACGGATTACCACTTAAAAAAAATTTCCGAAATTCGGTCAGAAAGAAAATGAAAAATGAAATTTTGGGTCCTTACAGAGGAAAATTAAGTGTCCGGGAACAATGGATCGTCTGAAAAGATAGTCCTATTTTTCCGAACGGAATGGAATGATCTAAACGCAAATTCGTCTTCAATTTCTGCAAACCTTACCTTTTTTAAAATAATAGTTTCCAGCTTAAATTGGGGCCGTTTGTCGGTAAATGGGACTGATTTGAGCCAATGGTGGACGCGATTCTCAGTCTCGAGCGAAATTTAACACTCCCTTAGCCAGCTGCTCCAGGCGTTCAGATAGTGAGCAGGGTATGGGTCGCTTTTGACTCTTTTTAGGGCGTGGCACTTTTTGGCCAAGCGGTCCTGGGTCTGAGTTTTGGACGGAGTGAGGGTGTGGATCCGAGTGAGAAGTGGTTGCGTTGAGTCTGGAAACAAGAGACGCGAGTGGGATCGCTCTTGGAAGGCTGATCCAGGAGTTCAAATATTGGAGTGGGCGCGAAGTCAGAGAGGGGGAAAAATAAATAATCAATATACCCCACCCCCTCGCTGTTTTTCCTGCTCACTTCTTTTGCACCGTCCCCACTATCTGAACGCCTGGAACAGCCTAACAGTCCCTTGTTTTGTTTGCCATTTATGTAAACCGTGAATGGACCAGTTTGCCCATGTATATGGTAGACAAACTTTCGATTTATATATTATCATATTTTTAGCAACTGTTTCTTCCCACTCTTTCAGGTTCGTGAAGTCCATGAACGACCATGCACTCGATGCGAACCAACAGCAACTACAAGCCAGGACCAAAATAGCTGATTATATTAGAATGCTTGAACAGCAATTGCATGAATTAAAGAACAATCGACCAATCTCGATCGACGATTATGGTTACTCATCAGAAGCTGTCAAACAAAATGATAGGGGATATACTGATCAAGATTTAAGAGAGGACTACCAAGTTTCTCCACAAATGGTACAACCGACCCAAGCAGAAAATGCCAACTTTGAGCGTTACTTAAAAAGTTCTCAGTCAGATTTCGATGAGCAAGGTGTTATGAGAGACGTAAGTGATCATGACCCGTTCGATTTAACTGATGACATGGATGAAGAGGACGATTTTGAGCTTGCCAGTTGTTTCCGATCCTCTGCTCGGCACCTTGTGCAACCGGACGAAGTCCGAATGGCTAGAGTAACAACAATAGACGGATTTGTCTGCCCGCATTCTCCTCCTGGAATGGATAACGCATCGGACAAGAACACACCGAAACGTCCACCTAGGAAGACCGACTCTAGGAAAAGACGGAAGCTTCCAAACATTACCCGAAAGCTGAGCACAGAAAGTGGTCATAGCACAGACAGCTTGGTGACGCGATCAGACGAAACAGCGTCTGTTACGTCATTTGAATCACACATGTCACGTGATAATGCCCGTTTTCGTCGAGGTTCTGGTGGCGGTTCAAATCGACGTCTTCCCCCAGTCCCCAGCGGTGAGGAAATTAACTTAAGTAAGCAAAAAATTGTTGAAGACAGGCCTGCTACAGAACCACCCAGTGTCATGTCTATTTACAAGGTTAAGGAGGGACCAAGAAGTGTAAATAATCAAAGCCAAGATTCTGGACTCGGTAAAAGCGAGAAGAACGATCCCACTTCTCCTTTTCATGCAAGCCACAAGTTTAGCTTCTCCAGATTTAGGAGAAAGTTTAGCAAAGGAAAGGAAAGTTCAGGTGAAGAATAAATTGATAAAACTCGTTGTTATAAGTACATGTACAGTCCATTTTTCCCGATAGAAGCATTTTACTGTTACTCCCAAAAAATCGATCTGCCAATAGAGCCTTTATGTTCGGATCACGTGCAATCCCAACCGGTTGATCAGATCAAATTGAACTGTTTGGATCACGTGGGCTAAATCCCGTGCTGGGATTGACTACTGCCAAAAGCGAGACCATACCCAAGTAATGAGTTTCCAAAAAGTCAATTGGCCATTTGCTCATCTCCCATATTACACCTTGTTTGCCCGCAAAATTTTGTAGAAGCATTGTCTTTTATTTCTCGTGGGACCACAGTAATACCCAAGCGAAATCAAAAACAAAGGTTATGCAAAAGGGGGGGATGGGGGGGCAAACAAGCTGTATTATGGGAAATGTGAAAAAGGCGAATGTCGGTTTTCCAGCGGGATCATATTTAAATTGACCATCCTAAAGGGATAAATCATTTTGAAAAAGTGATTTTTGTACGAACTAAAAAAAAGCATATCAAAATTAGGTAACCTGTAAATTTTCAGCCGTATATCTCAAAAGTAGCGATTGCAGTGGCCGACGAAAATTAGAAGGATATGTATGCGAAAAACAACTTTAGCCAACCAGTCGAGGTTTAGTGGTTTTCCATACAAATCCACGTTGTTAAATCTTTCTCTTACGCCTTAATGGATACAAATTGTCTGTTATGAACAAAGAAAAATTGAACCCCATAAGGGCTTAAGGAAAGATTCTACGACATTTTTAAAATTTCATTATATTCAGAAGGATTCGTCATTTTAATGTGCTCTTTCAATTTCTGCAAAAATCATTTTTCTAAAGGTAACTGTTTTCGTTTTCACAGAAAGTTGATCACGTGACCAACTACAGAAGAACCCCGTAACTCGAACTCCCCGCTAACTCGAACTAAGTCCCATTTCCCTTGGATTTCAACCCACGTTTTAGTCATTTTTTGTCAGTTAACTCGAGCTCGGATAACTCGAATTCCTCGCTTACTAGAACTAAATTGCCTTTTGATCAAAATTTTACTAAAATTCACCCCGATAACTCGAATTCTGGTTCTTGCAACTCCACTCGGATGCCATTCCATTAGCTCTTCTTGCTGTGTAATCAGTAAAAATGCTAAAACTAACACTACAGCAATGTGATCTTAATTGGTGCCACGAACAGATCTCGTTTTATCATAAAAAAAAAGCATAATCATGTTATCGTTTCTGATGAAATAAGTTAAATTTGTACTGTACTATACACTCAAGTGCGGAAAAATCAGTAACTATCGATCATTAACATTGCAAATTGAATGCCGGTATTCCATCGATCCCGATAACTCGAACGATAACTCGAACTGTTTTTCGTTTCCCTTCAGAGTTCGAGTTACCGGGGTTCAACTGTATGACAAAGGCCTATTCAGTTTGTTGTTGGCGAAAGTTGAATTACTTCAGAACAAAATTTCTAAAAAGATCCATGAGGGCTTCGCTTTCTTCCTTGGCTGAATCTGTAGTTTAAATTCATCTTATCAACTCCGGCAGTTTATGAAGCAAATTTGTTATATCTAAACAGGTACTCACGTTGATGTTGACAGCCTTACGAAAACTGAAAAGGGACGTTTTAAGCAGAAGCTCTCATTGTTACGAAGAAGGAAACGCCGCAGAAATTCAATAGGTAGTGTAAGCAGTGCTTCGGAAAGTTTTAGAACTATTACTCCCTTGAACAGCGATAAGGAAGACGTGGCTGATATAGGAAAAGAGCCGTTCGACTGGGGGAGGAGTCAGTCTCCAAGAACGACTTCTACGTCCTATAAAAAAGGTAGAAGATTCGTGTCTCGGTTGATTTTATTGCTTTATCTCTATTTTCATTTTCTTTTCTGTTTTCATACTTAAACTAACTAATTACCTTTAAGACACATTCTTTGGTGGAAACATATTGAGGTTGTCCCGAGGGCATGACAAGCACTATAGTCGTCATCATTATCATCGTCGCGAACTTAGCATCACTGTTATCCTTATCGTTATCACCTTCACGACGCATTGATTGTGAATATATTACATTACCACTATTATAAAGGAAGATTTATACTGAGAACATACAAGACCTTTTTAGCTTTTAGGTTTTTTCCCAATTCAGACCACTTGATGTTTTCAAGGAAATTTGGCAATGTGGACAGCGTGACATTTGAAAGAATTCTCAGTTGTAACAACTCATGTTCTGCAATGAGGAAACAAAACATCAGGCTACAGAGATCTTAAGTCGACATTAGCTTATNAAAGAGCCGTTCGACTGGGGGAGGAGTCAGTCTCCAAGAACGACTTCTACGTCCTATAAAAAAGGTAGAAGATTCGTGTCTCGGTTGATTTTATTGCTTTATCTCTATTTTCATTTTCTTTTCTGTTTTCATACTTAAACTAACTAATTACCTTTAAGACACATTCTTTAGTGGAAACATATTGAGGTTGTCCCGAGGGCATGACAAGCACTATAGTCGTCATCATTATCATCGTCGCGAACTTAGCATCACTGTTATCCTTATCGTTATCACCTTCACGACGCATTGATTGTGAATATATTACATTACCACTATTATAAAGGAAGATTTATACTGAGAACATACAAGACCTTTTTAGCTTTTAGGTTTTTTCCCAATTCAGACCACTTGATGTTTTCAAGGAAATTTGGCAATGTGGACAGCGTGACATTTGAAAGAATTCTCAGTTGTAACAACTCATGTTCTGCAATGAGGAAACAAAACATCAAGCTACAGAGATCTTAAGTCGACATTAGCTTATCAAAAATCTCTCATGGTTATAGACCGCTCTTTTGTTTTGAAAATTACTTTTAATTAATTATTTGTAGAATTTATGCGCGTTTATTAAAATATTTGGCCTCTAATGAACCATGTAACATTGATTTGGATTTTTGCAGGTGGTGTCTCTCGTAAGTCAAGAAATGTTTCTGATCGACATAGAAGGGCTTGTCTGTGGCTTGTATTTCAACACTTGAATCCTATTGAACTGTGCGGTCTGGCTCGAGTCTGCCGTGAATGGCGCGAAATAAGCGAACATCCCTCGCTATGGAAGCAGGTGACGTTGGAGGATATACCAGTCAATAATATGGTGAGTAGAAACCAAGTAACAAAGGTAATTTTTTTAAGGAGAGCAAAAGTATATTGATTATACAGTGGAACCCCGCCCTACGGACACCCGTATATAAAACGGACAGTTTTTTTCCACCGTGGGCTCGAAAGACGATCGGCTTTGGTATAAGTTATTCACTGTATCTTCCACCCTTGTGGTACTCATTTTGCGTTCTTTTCTTTGCATATACCGTATTATTAAGTTAAAAGATGTTCGAAGAGGAAGTAGAAGAACTTAAAACCAGAGTTTGTGAAAAACAAGTTTTTTCCCTTGTTGTTTCAGGCGCTACAGGCCGTTTCCAGAAGATGCAGTTGCATGCAATTTTTAAAGCTGAAAGGTATTGTTCAAAAAACGATTTTCTTTTCCAAATTTTTCCCAAGACAAAACTCATGGTAAGCACATGAAAGATGCCAGTACAAGATTTGATTACTCCAGGTTTAGAATGCACTCTCATAATGGCCCAGAGATACTACTCAGCAGAGATATAAAACTTCGCTTTTGTCTATCGGTACATGTGGGCCACTATTAAGGTCCCGCGTTAGCCGGCAAACGTTTTTCCAAAGATTACTCACAAAGTGACACCACAGTCTGGTTCCATTTGTTAAAAAGGCGGATAGCGCTATCCGTCGGTAAAACAATCCAAAACAATTGTTACAGAGCAAAACTGACGTGAAGCTACTACTATTGGAGCAGAGGTAATGAACAGTGAAGCACATGTCAAGAGAGAACTTGGTCACGTGGTACAAATTCACGTTTGTCGTTTGCCGTAAACGTGACTTTAAATCTCTCTATTATAGTAAATGCGAAAATATAATTCCAGAAACTTTAATTAAAACTAAGCAATTTATGCCATTAAAACTAGTATTTATCTTTCAATAACAATCCGAAAAATTTTACCATTTTTTAGGGCTGAAGATAACAAAATCAAGAGGCAAAAACCACGATTCCAAACCAGATGACTTGAGGTGAGGCTAGGGGCAGCCTTGCTCATCCTTTTCCTTCGGCTTTGACTGCAAACTGCTACGTTATGGACTGCTAAGACCATTAGTTGCTCGAACCCAACGCAAATTTTATGCCAGTCAACATGTACCATTGCAAGTGCACGCCCAACAGACTTCAACAGGAAGCCACCTATTATATGTTCTTTAGACTAGAAAGATACTTTTAGACTGCGTAATATATAGAGGATATTACATGGTCGCGCGGAAATACGAAATTTCTCTTCGAGTGTTGAAAAATATTTTACGAGTGATTGCAGCGAACGAGTGAAATATTTTTTCAACACGGGAAGAGAAATTTCGTATCTCCAAGCATGAAGCTACTACTATTGGAGCAGAGGTAATGAACAGTGAAGCACATGTCAAGAGAGAACTTGGTCACGTGGTACAAATTCACGTTTGTCGTTTGCCGTAAACGTGGCTCTAAATCTCTCTATTATAGTAAATGCGAAAATATAATTCCAGAAACTTTAATTTAAACTAAGCAATTTATGCCATTAAAACTAGTATTTATCTTTCAATAACAATCCGAAAAATTTTACCATTTTTTAGGGCTGAAGACAACAAAATCAAGAGGCAAAAACCACGATTCCAAACCAGATGACTTGAGGTAAGGCTAGGGGCAGCCTTGCTCATCCTTTTCCTTCGGCTTTGACTGCAAACTGCTACGTTATGGACTGCTAAGACCATTAGTTGCTCGAACCCAACGCAAATTTTATGCCAATTAACATGTACCATTGCAAGTGCACGTCCAACAGACTTCAACAGGAAGCCACCTATTATATGTTCTTTAGACTAGAAAGATACTTTTAGACTGCGTAATATATAGAGGATATTACATGGTCGCGCGGAGATACGAAATTTCTCTTCGAGTGTTGAAAAATATTTTACGAGTGATTGCAGCGAACGAGTGAAATATTTTTTCAACACGGGAAGAGAAATTTCGTATCTCCAAGCTGGTATATAATGTTCTATTTATTATATAAACATTAATGAAATACCGATCCATTACACTTTTAATTAATACTTTTTTGCTGTGAAAGGCGCGATTTATTATGTAGCCATAGCAACGGTGATATTTCACATGTAAAGATATCATGTTTCGCGCGAAAGCTCTCCTGGTATTTCATTGGTGTTTATATAACAAACCCTGTTTAGTACAGACTCGCGCAAACGTAAACACCCTGTTTAGGGTAAAAACCCATACCCTGTTCAGCGGGATAATCCCGCATAGGCCATACGAGGGAGTACACCCTCCGGGATTATCACGCCTACAGCTAGCCAGGCTATAGATTGTGGATCGTTTGCGAAATTTGTCACATAAATAAGTAGAGGCAAGGTTGTTTAAACACCTTCATGTCATAACCAAGTCTCTCAGCTGTAAAAGCTGTTTGAAAAACAGCCAGTTGAGCTGGTGCAAAATTGTAGTGACAAGATCGTTCTTCCTAGACGGGGTAACAATTTTGCAAGTGAAACTCTGTAGTAACTGAAGTTTCTCAGTTTACTTTAGAAGCAGACCAGTCTGGGATTAGCTGACTGACTCATTTTAAGTCTTATTGGGGTTCTTGTTTTCTCTCTCAAGTTGTTATTTAGAAAGAGGCCTGGAGTTTCTTTTAAAAGCTGCCGGATCTAGTATGCAGAGCCTTCATATTGAAGACTGTGGTATCTTTTTAACAGATAGGTATAGTGACTTTGTTTAACGGAAGGAATCTTAGCACTAACAATCATAGCTAGTTAAACTGTATTATTCGTTCTCAGCCGTCACTTTACTTTTCTCTGGCAGATGTTTATCCCTGGTCGGGTGTTACTGCAGAGAATTAAAAGAAACGGTTTACATCAGTGATACATTTCCCGTATGCCCCGAGGCATTATGGGCCTTGTGGGCGTGTCGACAGCTTCACACACTTCGCGTACCGCCAATGTTCCCGAGGTGAGACTTGACTCTTTGTTGTTGTCAGTGACTTCCAAACCTCCAAACACCGGTTATTCAGACCCAATTACGAGCGCAAAATTTTTCTTGATGTTTTCCCAGGCCGTGTATGACATAAAAAAACCCCTAACATCTTACTACCAAAATGAGGCCAATTCAGTGTGTGTTGCAGCCCAATGTTAGGGCTTTTAACAACGTGTGGGGGTATACTTTTCAGCAGAGTCTTTATGTTTAGTTGCGCCGTTCTGATTAGCCACAATGATAGGGAGTTTACGCAACGACGACGACGACGACGACGGCAACGAGAATGGCAAAAAAAGCAGTAGGTTTAATTTAGACAAGCAAAATAACAACTTTGCACTTGCATCACGCTTTTTTGTACATTTCTTAGCCGTCGTTGCACGACTTCAACGTGAAAGTGCCTAATTTCACATTTTGTCGAGGACGGGAACAAGAGACAATAACTTTCTTTTTTCTTTTCCTGAACTTTGATGCAGTCCTTTAGAATTCAACTCCAAAAAAATTTGCCAACATTTGACGAATTAAACGAGATGTAGTAAGCGCCATAAAGTTTGAGGCAGCGCAAATTCACTTTTGAAGTGACGTTTTCGTAGCCGTCGCCGCCTTTTCGTAAACTCCCTAACGGCAAAACAGCTGTCTACGGCTACAGCCCTGCTCTGGGTTGACTAGTTGAAACTTGATTTACCCTGCCATTTTCCCAACCAGTCAGAGTCAAGACCAATGTGTCTTTCCCACGATCCTCGATTCCTTTTTTATATTCCAATGGCTCCGAATTATCTGGCGTTTTGCTGCGATGTAGAAGCCAATCGACAAATCTTCTTTTTGGACGTTGGCTTTTTCTGAAATACGCAGCTTCGATTTCCCACAAACAGAGTAACCGACAAGGACTGAAGGCGGTAATTAATGTGCTTGTTTTTCCCTTAATACTGAATTCATTTCATTTTCTTTCGTACAAGTTATCATCCAGGACGTTTTAACGACAAGAGCTTGGAAATGATACCCAACTGCTGGCCAAACTTGCGCCAGCTGACAGTCGGCGGCCCCAGCATCACCTCTGCAGGACTAATTCACATTGGTAAACTGCACTAAACTATTTTATCTTATCTCAACTCCCATCCTTCACTCTGCAGGACGCGCGTTCGCAAAATCAAATCGAATTAAATCAGATTTATTTCCTCGTGCCACTTATAGGTTTTACAACTGGCATCTTGTAATTATTTTTAACCAGAGACAACAGTAGCTGCTATTATTCCACCCCGAGTAAGCAAACATTTCAGCAAAGCTCCAATATGATAAAACTTTTCCAATAGATGGGGATGAAAACCATTCGCTGGCGATTCGCATAGAAGACAGGAAAAAGTAGAACGAACAAAATTTGACAAGCAATATTAACAGCGCTGTAAAAATCTTCAGACGTAGATTCAGAATGTATGTCTAGGAGGACGATCAAGAATCATTCCTGTGAACTAAAGATAGGCCATAGGTTGAGATTTCAAACTCTAGATGTCAGGAATACTTCAAGAAAAATGTAATAGCTCGCCCTTTCAAAGAATCGGTTATGAACAGAAAGTACTTCATTTTCTTTTTCCGTCAACTGTCCTTATGAACAGAAAGTACTTCTGAATCAATTTTCTTCAACCGTCAACTGTTCTTTTCTGTTTATATGAGATTTTTTACTGTGATATAACTATTTATATGAGATTTTAACAATGTTTTCTTGCCTTTTCTTGTTTTAAATCACATCATTTAGCCAAAGGTTGTTTGAGACTTCAAGAACTAGAACTGGATCGTTCAATATTAATAAATGAAGAAATCGCCCACACCATGTGCTTGTGTGGACTAAGAGGACTGGAAACGATTTCCTTCACCTTCACCCCAGTCTCTCCCGGCGCAATTAGGGAGCTACTAGGTAAAGCCACGTTATTTTGATTTCTAGCAAGGCTAACATTTTATATCTTATGTAAACCGTTCGCCACGTTTTGTAAGGAAATGTATAATAAGTTGGCTCTGGACTGCGAATAGTCTCTTACTTTCCTTTACCAAGTTACTGACGCAAAACCCAAGCACGCGAGTAGCGAAGCCGCAAGCCACGATAAACGAGGGCGTAATCCGTTTTTGTAATGTCATGGTTTGCAATCAGACTGGCTGAGATAAGAACTAGACGGATTTTACGAGAAAAGGTGGACTGCAAGCAGTCTTAGTTGGATTAGTCGCCTAGGGTAACTCAGGTAGGGGGATGACCCTTCCTCCCGGTATAACTTTTTTCCATATAAACGGAGCCTAAAGTAGATTTTTTTCAGAATTTTTTCTAGCTGTTCAAATTTTTCATAATTACAAGTATGGTTCGCAGTTTTCAACACTGAAGAATGTGGCGTTTAATGATAGCACTGCAAGCCTATTCCAGATCCCATATTGTGGACGGGAAAAGCATATCGGAAAAAAACATTGCGCGAAACCCGCGTGGGGGCTAGGATAGACGGGTAGTGCTCCCTTTTTCGCTGCTCGCTTGCATTTTTCTCTCTTCTGCACCAGCCTGCTTCTTCACTGACCGACAGCCTGTCACAGGCTATTATAGCGCTTGAACTAACAGCTGTGACAGATTCACTTGATTTACAAAAACTTTAAGTTCTTTCTTTGAGTAGAATAATAGTTATTTTCTTGCTCTGATAAGTTGTAACAGGCACCACTCTAGATTAGGTGAGTACTTATGGTCTCCGGCCAGACTGGATGACTTCTCGCTGACTTTGCTTTTACTGGCTTTTAGGGGCTTGTCCGCGATTAGAGCGTATCGAAGTGCATATTGGGATATCAGATTACTTTACGGATGTTGAAGCTGAAGTCAGCCAGAGAAAATACAGGCGCATTGTCAAGAAACTCACAGTAAGGACATGATTTGCTTTTGTAATATTAAACTACGAAACGTTTTGTGGATTGTCACGGGGGGGGAGAGGGGGAAACGTTTTTGTGGATTGTCACAGGTGGGTGGGGTAGCCCTCGTCCGCTTTATAAACAGTACCACGCAGTTTCTTGTTAGGAGCTAGGAGTTAAGTTGAAATCCATTAGGAAATTGAGTAATTTAAATTTTCAGTGGACGAAAACCTTGTATCAGAATAAATTCAAGCATATTGCATTCTTTTTCACACTTTTCAAGGGCTATAAATGTTCTAAGTTGTAGAAACGAGAAAGAGAGAACGTTAAAAAAGCAATAGGTTAAAAAGGCAAAACAACAACTTTGCAAGTGCAGCAAAGAGAGTTCGCTTGCTTGCATTCGACAAAGTAAATGAGTTGTAGATTGAAACAAAACAAAGTGACTTTTTAAGCAACGTTCTCGTGGCCGCCGCCGTCGTGGTAAAACGTCCCTGAGTTGAGTTCTCAATTCTCTTTTTTGCTTCATTATTATTCAGTGAAGGTCGATTAAAACTAGCAATTTAAAATATTGTTGTCTTTATCTTTTTTGTTTAGGCTTTACAAGAAGAGAACGTAGAATTTGCAAGAGTTCTTTGGATAAAGTCAGATTACGGATAAATTTGGTATAAACATTGATAGAACTATTTCAAAACGCAGTTAATACCCATGTTGTATTTATAACTTATTTTGTTCTCAATCAACTCGGATAGAAATTAAACACAAAAGGTATTGATGCCCGTTTCTTTGCTTGCAATATTCTATCGGTTGTTTTCGATACCGGTATCTCTGTCGTTTATTTCAAGCTAAAAAAGTGACTGACAAAGAATGCTCTCTGTTTTCATGACAGCTGCAAGAGTTTGTTCACGTGAAATATTACCAGCGCTGTCACTCATGAGAAGTATCATCATTGTCATCATCATCAGGGTTTGCCTTTACTCTCGACAGAGCAACCCCTCCCTGGATCGATCCCACGGGTGTCTGTGCTTGGCTAATCTTGACCATACGGGTCCAAACTATCTGGACGACTCTGTTTTCTGGTCCAATCTCTTGGGGTCCACTCTGTTGTTCTGGTGGTCCAACGGTTATAAGGTATCAGATATAGCTATCAGAATACCGTAACCTGCCGAGAGTTGTGGGTTTTAGGAGGGCTTTTAGACGAAGTGGCATATATCCGAGGGAGGTTGTAACCAGAAAATAAAAAGCGCTTCGAAATAAGCTATTATATAAGAGCCGATCAAAATACCTTTGTATTTACAGGTTTTTATTAAGGGTTAGAACGTCATGATAATTCGAATTCTTTTCAATACATTTGGAGGGGGTTCTTATCTCCGGGGGGCTTGTAATCGGATGAATTTTTTGTTTACAGGTAGGCAGTTCTCCTCTTCACTTTTGTTTTACACGGATCAACTTTCCGGTCACCACGCTTATAACCTAAACTATATCAGTTTCTTTGATTTCAGCTAGCTGGTATTTCAGTAACACCTGTTGCGGGTATTGTTAAAGCTTACCTGCTTTGCGCTTTGTTCAGCCAGTGCACCGTTCATCATTAGCCTCATGTATCTATCACAATATTTCTCTTCATTTCCTCACTGCTAAAAGTTTTGATTTGAACTGATTCTAAATGAACCTCTCGAGGCTAAAATTTGTGAGAACCTTTTTGTGTCGATTTTACCCCAACGTTCACATTGTTTTCCTCTGCGCAGTTATCAGCTTTGTCTTCTACAGTATTTTCTACAAAGACTTATTTCTCTTCACGGCGACGTATTTTGTAAACATATCCATGGGAATCCGTGCTGCGAGAAACCAAGCAAGAAATAAGGTGGTTTTATTGTACACGCCGTTTTTTGGCAATAGATGGATCGACTATGTGACTCTAGAGGGAGAAACAGAGTAACCGACAAGGACTGAAGGCGGTAATTAATGTGCTTGTTTTTCCCTTAATACTGAATTCATTTCATTTTCTTTCGTACAAGTTATCATCCAGGACGTTTTAACGACAAGAGCTTGGAAATGATACCCAACTGCTGGCCAAACTTGCGCCAGCTGACAGTCGGCGGCCCCAGCATCACCTCTGCAGGACTAATTCACATTGGTAAACTGCACTAAACTATTTTATCTTATCTCAACTCCCATCCTTCACTCTGCAGGACGCGCGTTCGCAAAATCAAATCGAATTAAATCAGATTTATTTCCTCGTGCCACTTATAGGTTTTACAACTGGCATCTTGTAATTATTTTTAACCAGAGACAACAGTAGCTGCTATTATTCCACCCCGAGTAAGCAAACATTTCAGCAAAGCTCCAATATGATAAAACTTTTCCAATAGATGGGGATGAAAACCATTCGCTGGCGATTCGCATAGAAGACAGGAAAAAGTAGAACGAACAAAATTTGACAAGCAATATTAACAGCGCTGTAAAAATCTTCAGACGTAGATTCAGAATGTATGTCTAGGAGGACGATCAAGAATCATTCCTGTGAACTAAAGATAGGCCATAGGTTGAGATTTCAAACTCTAGATGTCAGGAATACTTCAAGAAAAATGTAATAGCTCGCCCTTTCAAAGAATCGGTTATGAACAGAAAGTACTTCATTTTCTTTTTCCGTCAACTGTCCTTATGAACAGAAAGTACTTCTGAATCAATTTTCTTCAACCGTCAACTGTTCTTTTCTGTTTATATGAGATTTTTTACTGTGATATAACTATTTATATGAGATTTTAACAATGTTTTCTTGCCTTTTCTTGTTTTAAATCACATCATTTAGCCAAAGGTTGTTTGAGACTTCAAGAACTAGAACTGGATCGTTCAATATTAATAAATGAAGAAATCGCCCACACCATGTGCTTGTGTGGACTAAGAGGACTGGAAACGATTTCCTTCACCTTCACCCCAGTCTCTCCCGGCGCAATTAGGGAGCTACTAGGTAAAGCCACGTTATTTTGATTTCTAGCAAGGCTAACATTTTATATCTTATGTAAACCGTTCGCCACGTTTTGTAAGGAAATGTATAATAAGTTGGCTCTGGACTGCGAATAGTCTCTTACTTTCCTTTACCAAGTTACTGACGCAAAACCCAAGCACGCGAGTAGCGAAGCCGCAAGCCACGATAAACGAGGGCGTAATCCGTTTTTGTAATGTCATGGTTTGCAATCAGACTGGCTGAGATAAGAACTAGACGGATTTTACGAGAAAAGGTGGACTGCAAGCAGTCTTAGTTGGATTAGTCGCCTAGGGTAACTCAGGTAGGGGGATGACCCTTCCTCCCGGTATAACTTTTTTCCATATAAACGGAGCCTAAAGTAGATTTTTTTCAGAATTTTTTCTAGCTGTTCAAATTTTTCATAATTACAAGTATGGTTCGCAGTTTTCAACACTGAAGAATGTGGCGTTTAATGATAGCACTGCAAGCCTATTCCAGATCCCATATTGTGGACGGGAAAAGCATATCGGAAAAAAACATTGCGCGAAACCCGCGTGGGGGCTAGGATAGACGGGTAGTGCTCCCTTTTTCGCTGCTCGCTTGCATTTTTCTCTCTTCTGCACCAGCCTGCTTCTTCACTGACCGACAGCCTGTCACAGGCTATTATAGCGCTTGAACTAACAGCTGTGACAGATTCACTTGATTTACAAAAACTTTAAGTTCTTTCTTTGAGTAGAATAATAGTTATTTTCTTGCTCTGATAAGTTGTAACAGGCACCACTCTAGATTAGGTGAGTACTTATGGTCTCCGGCCAGACTGGATGACTTCTCGCTGACTTTGCTTTTACTGGCTTTTAGGGGCTTGTCCGCGATTAGAGCGTATCGAAGTGCATATTGGGATATCAGATTACTTTACGGATGTTGAAGCTGAAGTCAGCCAGAGAAAATACAGGCGCATTGTCAAGAAACTCACAGTAAGGACATGATTTGCTTTTGTAATATTAAACTACGAAACGTTTTGTGGATTGTCACGGGGGGGGAGAGGGGGAAACGTTTTTGTGGATTGTCACAGGTGGGTGGGGTAGCCCTCGTCCGCTTTATAAACAGTACCACGCAGTTTCTTGTTAGGAGCTAGGAGTTAAGTTGAAATCCATTAGGAAATTGAGTAATTTAAATTTTCAGTGGACGAAAACCTTGTATCAGAATAAATTCAAGCATATTGCATTCTTTTTCACACTTTTCAAGGGCTATAAATGTTCTAAGTTGTAGAAACGAGAAAGAGAGAACGTTAAAAAAGCAATAGGTTAAAAAGGCAAAACAACAACTTTGCAAGTGCAGCAAAGAGAGTTCGCTTGCTTGCATTCGACAAAGTAAATGAGTTGTAGATTGAAACAAAACAAAGTGACTTTTTAAGCAACGTTCTCGTGGCCGCCGCCGTCGTGGTAAAACGTCCCTGAGTTGAGTTCTCAATTCTCTTTTTTGCTTCATTATTATTCAGTGAAGGTCGATTAAAACTAGCAATTTAAAATATTGTTGTCTTTATCTTTTTTGTTTAGGCTTTACAAGAAGAGAACGTAGAATTTGCAAGAGTTCTTTGGATAAAGTCAGATTACGGATAAATTTGGTATAAACATTGATAGAACTATTTCAAAACGCAGTTAATACCCATGTTGTATTTATAACTTATTTTGTTCTCAATCAACTCGGATAGAAATTAAACACAAAAGGTATTGATGCCCGTTTCTTTGCTTGCAATATTCTATCGGTTGTTTTCGATACCGGTATCTCTGTCGTTTATTTCAAGCTAAAAAAGTGACTGACAAAGAATGCTCTCTGTTTTCATGACAGCTGCAAGAGTTTGTTCACGTGAAATATTACCAGCGCTGTCACTCATGAGAAGTATCATCATTGTCATCATCATCAGGGTTTGCCTTTACTCTCGACAGAGCAACCCCTCCCTGGATCGATCCCACGGGTGTCTGTGCTTGGCTAATCTTGACCATACGGGTCCAAACTATCTGGACGACTCTGTTTTCTGGTCCAATCTCTTGGGGTCCACTCTGTTGTTCTGGTGGTCCAACGGTTATAAGGTATCAGATATAGCTATCAGAATACCGTAACCTGCCGAGAGTTGTGGGTTTTAGGAGGGCTTTTAGACGAAGTGGCATATATCCGAGGGAGGTTGTAACCAGAAAATAAAAAGCGCTTCGAAATAAGCTATTATATAAGAGCCGATCAAAATACCTTTGTATTTACAGGTTTTTATTAAGGGTTAGAACGTCATGATAATTCGAATTCTTTTCAATACATTTGGAGGGGGTTCTTATCTCCGGGGGGCTTGTAATCGGATGAATTTTTTGTTTACAGGTAGGCAGTTCTCCTCTTCACTTTTGTTTTACACGGATCAACTTTCCGGTCACCACGCTTATAACCTAAACTATATCAGTTTCTTTGATTTCAGCTAGCTGGTATTTCAGTAACACCTGTTGCGGGTATTGTTAAAGCTTACCTGCTTTGCGCTTTGTTCAGCCAGTGCACCGTTCATCATTAGCCTCATGTATCTATCACAATATTTCTCTTCATTTCCTCACTGCTAAAAGTTTTGATTTGAACTGATTCTAAATGAACCTCTCGAGGCTAAAATTTGTGAGAACCTTTTTGTGTCGATTTTACCCCAACGTTCACATTGTTTTCCTCTGCGCAGTTATCAGCTTTGTCTTCTACAGTATTTTCTACAAAGACTTATTTCTCTTCACGGCGACGTATTTTGTAAACATATCCATGGGAATCCGTGCTGCGAGAAACCAAGCAAGAAATAAGGTGGTTTTATTGTACACGCCGTTTTTTGGCAATAGATGGATCGACTATGTGACTCTAGAGGGAGACAAGGTTGAATTTGTTGAAGGAGAAAAAACTTTTCACGACTGCGAAGTGTCCTCGTGTGTGCTAACATATGACCAGAGTAAACTTTTAGAAGTCGATGCTGTAGGGTTTCATGCAAGAGACATGCCAGATATTCTTCCAACACGTTTAAATACGCAACAAATCTGGTTTTACTTTGTCTTGGAAAACCCTTTAAATGTGTTTGTGAAACCTGATGGCTACGCCGGCGTATTTAACTGGACAATGTCGTATAGCCGAGAATCCGAGGTTTACATACCGTACGGGATGTACAAATCAATAGAAAAGGAAGCAAGAGACTTCAGACAAATTCATGCACCAGATGAAAAGGACACACAAGTCGCTTGGTTGGTCAGCAACTGCAACGCAAAAGAACGAACAGAGTACGTGGAGGAATTACAGAAATATATCAACGTTTCCATCTATGGAAAATGCGGCACTCAAACCTGCCCAAAGGAACGTCATTCGCTGATCTGTAACGCGTTATTAAGCAGACATAGGTTTTATTTAGCTTTCGAGAATGGAAACTGTCCTGATTATATTACTGAAAAATACTGGGATAACGCGATAGGTAACAGCGTTGTCCCTGTAGTAATGGGCGGGGCTGATTACAAGGCTCTCGCAATTCCAAATTCGTACATCGATGTTCAAGATTTCGCCTCTCCAAAGAAGCTTGCAGAGTATCTGCAGTATCTTGCGGGCAACGACACCGCATACGAAGAATATTTTTGTTGGAAGAAACAGTATCAGCGCATTCGAACCCGGCGTGCTTGTGAATTGTGCAAACAACTTCATAACCAAAGCCTTTATACACCGTCGAGAGTATACACAAACTTGACAAAATTCTGGAATAGAAAGCAGTGTAAAAATCGTATGCACTAGTCACTTTCCCCTTTGGCACGGCTCGGATACTGTGTTAGATATTAACTTCTTTGAAAAGTTTTTAGGCCATATTTGTTATCGGAAATGAATGGTTCTCAACAATAGCCAAAATTTGATCTGTTAGACTAAAATTCTAACATGACTCTGAGGCTTTAGTAGCCTCCCACGAGCTCCCCTAAGAACGCCTGCGAGGGAGGCTAAGGCTTCAGGGACAAAATTGCAAATTTTTCACGACGGCATTGTCTTTAAATTATCTGAAGAGACTTGAGCACAACGAAAACCAAACCAAACATAGAAATATGACCAGAAAGCCTTGGAGATATGTTAGAATTTAATATACCGAACGTGTGCTATTTCGTGACACATTTTGGCGAACACCTCTTCAGCCAACACCAACTGAAATATTTTATTAAACCATATCTTCTCTATTTAGTCCCTGGCTGCCGATTACTTCGTTCACAAGGAGCCGTTCAATATTTTCGCTCTGTTCACACGGAACTGAGAAACAAAATAAATTTCTTGTCTTTTGTCAATGGTTTTAATATCTGTCCTTGGGCAGAGCGCTCATTAAGCAAATCTTACACGGCGTCTCGCAGCTGAGTTACCATGCGTCCATGTAACCACGCCTTTGCTGTACAATAATTTAGACTGTTATGGTGTTCGCACAGCGCAGGTCAAATTGCTGACCGTATTAAACAATTGAATTGAATTAACGTAAAAACTAAAAGTTTGACCTCTATTTTGGCGTTCATATTCTTTTGAACGGCGGAGGCGTCTAAATTTTCGTTCGTTTAAGGTGGTTCCGTGTGGACGGAACACCTAAATTTTCAACCAGTCGAGAAATCGTCTAGTGCTGTGTGAACTTTGCTTTAGTTCAACCTTCAGACCTTTATCCAAAAGACACAAGTCCTCCAATGGAAATGCCATCACGCAAGACGTAATTACGTAATACTGAGTTACTGTAGGATGTTGTTTCACCCGTGTTTCCATCACTTGTTTCCATCTGTGTAGACTACGAGCAGTCTCTCCTTCTTCTCAGTCTCGCCGTCTAGCGAAACGCGCGAGACACGAAAGTGACCACAGAGCGCGTTCGCCGCTCGGCGCTCTGGCGCGAGTGCACGCTCCTCACTAAAACTGAAGAAAAAGAGAGGCTGCTCGCAGTCTTTGCACAGTGTGTTTTACGATTTTCCTCCAAAATAAATTCTTATGTTTATATTAGCGATGAAATAACGTTGCTGATCCGTTGTGGAAACAAACTGAAAAATCCCTAGCGTACAAGAGAGACCCATCCTGACCGCTCGATAGCCAATCAGAACAGGGCAGGATTCGCTTCATTTTTGCCGCTTGTGGAATGATTTATTTGCTCGGTTTTTGATACCTTTCTGATTACAGTTATCAGAAACAATTTTATTTTCAGCTCTTTGCATGCGTAGTTTTATTATACTTCCCTTTAATTAATGTCGCCTATGATAACCTATTCATATGTCAACTGTAGTCAGCCACAATAATAGCGCTGAAACAGCTGTCTATGGCTACAATCCCGCTCTGTTTTGAGTTCTTTCGGTGTCGTGTTGATGTCTTGCATTATAATTTTCACGTAGTACGTTAAACATTGCAGTATTCTGCTTGTAGAATTTAAATGTCTATCAGAAATGATGATTACTTACTGCTTTACAGTCGCTTACCAAAAAGTCATTAACAATTCTCCAGTTTATGAATATTCAATCAAGCCTTACGTTGCTTAATCATTATTGGTTGCGATAGATTAGGACACCAGAACTTTTTTTTCATTTTACGAGTACGTCTCGAAAGTCCCCTGCTTACAGCATAAATTTTTAGAATTTGCCAGATAAAGGGTGTTTTGGTTAGGTAACTCTTTCCTTGTAATGTCAAGGCGCTCGATGTAACAGTTTCCGTGACGTTGTGAACCGATAGTTGCTTAAGTCTTTTTAGTAATAAACGGAGAAACTGAAATCAACAGTAGTGCTTAATTAAGCTCTAATTTAAAGCCGTTCCTTTTTAGATGTTTTAATCGCTGCATTGGTGATGAAACTTCAAACAAAACCCGGCGCTTGTTAAATTTCTCTTCAAAATTAATTGCAATGTAGGCACACAAAGAAAACGCAAGAACTCATCAGGAGAAACGCTCTCTTAATTTGCACCAAAACTGTCGCTTAAGTGGCGGCTGTAGCAGTAAAATAAGAGTTTATAACAGTGCAAAGAATATTGTCTGTCAGTCAAAATATCCAGACGATCTCTGAGTAGTTATTGGTTATAGCTGTGTCGGATGTTATTGTAATCACAGGAAGGTGAAAATGATATATAGTCAAATATTTCTCTCTTACGAGAGTTAAGGCAGTATTGGTAATGAAAAGAGTCGGCGCAAACTCATATGCCCACGAAGGACGATTATGCCATTGACAATTTTCATGCACATTTTCTTATTTGATTTCTAATCTCATTTCTAGTCTTAAGCTTATTTAAAACTTTGCCATATTTTTAAAAGCTCCGGATTTTATTTTTCCGACATGAAGGCCCATTTAACGACCTTTTTAATCCATTAGTTACGAGTTAATTGCCAGAGAGCTTATTCATTTTGTACAGAAATATTTCGTAAGTATCTTATTTCATCACATCATACCCTAAAACAAAAGAGATTCTCTCGTTTTGTTACGTCGATTTTTAACTGTAAGCTCTTCGACCATCGAAGATTAACAATGATAACTGCAAACAAGACAACATAGTTTCCGCTGAAATATTCAAATTTCTCACACTGCACCCGATGTTCTTATATCAAATCCTATGTTTTGAACAAACAAAAGCCAATTTTCTTTGTTGTTTAACGATTCAGCTGCTTTCGAATTAGTGAACATTTTCTAATCAATCTTTTCGAAATAGCATTTCTAAGTGTTCAGTAATAACGTCATTAAACGTTTGCGAGATGGCCAAATGATAAGAGCAATTTTAAACTGAGATTTTGTTATGAAATTTTGCCTTCGCCAGTTAGTTTATTGACATTATCTGACAATGCTTGTTACTTTCGTGGCGGTAGATTTTGATCACTTCTTTGTCACGTGGACGTAACGTTTGTCATTAAGACATAACTACTGCAAAATGACAACTTTCATTATCGATGTTATTTTGCCCTAGAATGCATTAACTATTCATGCATACAAGGCGATTCATTACTCTTAAGCAGTAATCTGTGAGTTAAAGAGTGTCTCGGGTAAGCATAGAGTGCTTCACTTTGTTATAATTATGAGCGAAGAAGTCGATGAACATGGCCATGTTAAGGGTTTACCGACTGCAACATTTGCACTGGTAGCAGGAATTTGTAGCTCACTATTTGGTTTATTTGCAGCCTTAACAAACGGCCTTCTTCTATTTACAGTATTCAAAGATCCGTACAATTATTTTCGAGCGCGCGCGACCACGTACTTTATCATTAGTCTTTCTTTAAGCGATCTTCTGGGAGGCTGTCTTGTGCAGCCAATGTACGCTGCGTCTATGTTTACCATCTCTACCGGAGGCCAAGCGCAGAAACTTTATGAAATCGCTCTTATTTTCAGCCATGTAACCACAAAGATATCAATTTTTACAGTAGTTGCGCTATCGCTGGATAGATTTTTAGCTGTCAAGCTTTCAGTGAGGTATAAAAGACTTATAACAGTGCGAAAAGTAGTTGTTTGTAACGCTTTAATCTGGATTTTCTGCATTACCTTTGAAACTTCTCATTCTTTGGACGAAAACAAGAAAGTATTCCACGTAATTGATCTTCATCTTCAAACGACTACTCCACTGACTATCATGTGTGCCCTATACATCGCGACTTACATGGAATTTCGCCATTATTCAAGAAACGTTGTTTTTGTGCGAGCAAACACGGGCGGACGGTCACGCATTTTTCTTCGAAATATTGGGTTGGAGAAAAAGATTGTTTTTACTGTTGTTTTAATTATCATTGTGCTCTTCATATCTCTATTGCCGTATTTAATCGTGACAAATTTACAAGAACGCTGCCATGAAGAGCTTAGCGGTGAATGCAGCGAGCCAGGGTTTTTGCTTACTAAAGCCCTCTCCGTACCTCTGTTGTGTGTTAGCTGTGCGTTGAACCCGTTTCTCTACGCTTGGAGAATACCACAGTACAGGCAAGTTTTACGTTTAATTGGGGGATGGATTTGTCAGAGATTTCGCCGTAGGAGCCACACTGTTAACACATTAGCGTTAAATATTCCGTCGGTACTAGCATCTGCCAGTTTAGTCGAACAAAAAATCCCAGCTGTTGGCCATCTCGAGGAAAGACGATCAGAAGAGATTATAAAAAGCGATTGTGACTTGAGAAATTAAAACTTCACGATCATTAATTCAAAGGTGTGGCAACAATCAAAGTCAAAATTTAAGAGTTATTTTCTCTCTAATTTTTTGAACTGTGGTTACACTATTTTTCACCTTTAAGCTAGGATGAAAGCAAAATTGGCTAACGTGCCCCATGCTGCGAGTCAACTCAAAACATCCTTTAAATATTTACCATGACTGCTTTTATTTTAAAGCTAGGCTGCGATCATCGGTGAACATTTTTTTCTATAAAGTAGAAAAATAGGAATACAGCCCTTGATCGCAGGTTATCTAACTTAGCGCCATGAATATCACCAGATTGAATAACTGAGTATTGAAGGTAGTGACCAATCATGATCTATTACTTTACTCACTGCAAGGCATGAAAACTTTTAGTTTTATTTAAAAGCCTGGTCTTCACTGGCGACGCAAGCATTGCATGCATTATTAAGGAGGATGGACTTGATATAAGCACTGATAAGTTTCAACACAAGAATATAAAAACCTTGCGTTCTTCCTACTCTTATGCTTATATATATCACGGCCTGTCTCACCTAGCTCCGCATAAAGCTTGTTATGCTCATGCTTATATAGTCGAACCCCGTGTTACGGACACCCGCTACGGACACTTTCTTTGGCGCTCTCAGGGAGCTTAAGCAACGAGGACGGCGACGGCAACGAGGACGGCAAAAAAGCAATAGGTTTAGATTAGCAAAACAACAACTTTGCGCGTGCATCACGTTTTTTTTGTACATTTCTTAGCCGTTGCACGACTGCAACATGAAAGTGCCTAAATTCACGGTTTGTCGAGGACGGGAACACAAGGCAACAACTTTGTTTTTCTTTTCCTGAAATTTGATACAGTCCTTTAGAATTCAACTCCAAAAACATTTGCCAACATTTGACGAAGTAAACGAGATGTAGTAAGCGCGATAAATTTTGAAGCAACGCGAATTCACTTTTTAAGTGACGTTTTTGTAGCCGTCGCCGTGGTTGTTGCTTAAGCTCCCTATTAACGGGCTTAAACTTTACTGTGCGCCAATGTTGCTCCAAAGTCGGGCGTAATTCAATTTAGATTCGGTACATGAGTGGAGCGGCGTCTGAACCGGGCCTAACTTATGTTTGGATTATGCTTTTGCTTAAGCTTGTGCTTTCGTCGTTAGTGAGGAGCTGGTTTTAGACGTTGATAAAATTAAAGGGGCACGCAACGACTGTTTTCTGTAAACAGCTGTTCAGAGAAGAAAATATTGCCTAGAATTTTCTTTTGCTTCCGGACGGCTAAAAATTTCCAGATGAACGTTCGATTCATGTAAAATTTTCGAAGCTTAATCTAATTAATTCCCTACGATTTTCTGCAGTAAAATTTTTCATATTTTAATACCCAGGTCACAGTATCTTAGAGAAGGGAAACCTAAAATTTTCGGATTCTAAAATGTGATAGAGAGAGGAATCAGAAAAAATTTCACTTTCGTAAAATGTTAAATTGCACCTAAAATTTCCGTAAAAATAACACTGAAGTCCTTGTAATTTCGAAAAGACTTAAGTTCCCCTAGGATGACCGAACAGAGATCTAAAAGTACTCTGGATAACCTAAAAAGTGTTTTCAACGTATTTTGGAAGAAACCGCCGTTAGGGTGCCCCTGAAATTAGTATACTAAGAGATGTTGGGAGAACTAAAAACCGGTCGGTCTGTGTCGTTGATTGCAGAAGTCGTTTTATCTCCTAAACTAGGTAATCTTTAAGAAATTATGCTAGCTGTTGTTTTTACCGTGGGAAATAAGTTCAGCTTAAAGATGCTTTGTGAAGATCATGCACTTGTTTATTAGCGAATAGGCAAATTTTAAGTGATATGCGTTGAGTGAAAAACAGAATTGATTCTGAAAGGATTTGGCTGATTCAACATACATGTAGATCAGATGTCTCATATGACATTTGAACAGTATAGCTGCTAAATCCTAGAGCAAATAGTTGTCGAGTTTCGGAACTTTGCTGTCGATCAGTGTCTGGAAACCTAACGCGTCCTTTATATACGAAAAAGAGGCGAATAAAACGAATGCAAATAGTAGGGGCTGAAGGGATCTATAAGGTCCCATAATTTCAAGCAATATTCCCTCATCACGTAGACTGTAAATTAATAGATGGAAAAGAAATGTAGTTGAATAGTCATAGTCTTATTAGCAAGAGGTAAAATTTGTTGCAGTATAACTGATTAATTTAGGCCTAGTGCAAAGGTCGGTCTTTTCATGTACCGAATTTAATTCCCTTTTTTAAACCCAGATAATATGACAAGTTCGACGGTTGATTCAGACGTCAAACTTGACTAGTCGGGCTCAATTCATTTTCACGATGTTCAATGGTTTAAAATGCTTACAAGTGAAAATAAATTTTAGTAATTTATGCATTAGTTGTTCTGCATATGAGAGGTTCGACGTTTTTTGCACTTTGAAAGGAAGTCACTCCACAGACGCCATGTTGGCCACTCAATCTTAATTCATGGGTTGACCCAAATTAGACATGTCGCACTTTAAGTTGATTCAAACTTCGATCTCTTCATCTACTTGATTGAAGAGATTAGGTTCAGTACATGAAAAGATCAACTTTTAAACTGGGCCTTAGAGTTATAAACATAACGAGGACAATGACAGGTGGTCTTTAATTGTTCGTCAGGCGAAACAGCTAGGATTAAGATACGTCTTACGGAAACAAAACATTTATTTTAAAATCATAGATACTTGTGGGTTTTGGCCATCTTAGCTTAAGAAGAAACAAAAAGCACACTGCTGTGATAAACATAAGGAAATATAAAAGCTTTTCTGGAAAGAAATAAAATCTGAACTTGACATTTCGTATGTTCCCTATGTTCCAACAAACATATTCCAATCAGGAGTAAAAACCGTCGAAAAATTGTTTTATCATTCGATTTCCAAGTTTGTTTTTTAATGAATATATATCTTTGGGAAGCGAAGCTATCTGCCATTTTTCAAGCAAGGGCGATCGCAAGAAGGAGAAAAGCGTGGTTTCGTGTACGCATGAGCAGAATATTATTTGCAGCGGCTCCTTCACCGGCGAAAAATGTCTGATTGGTCGACGCGCGACCACGTGACATTGCCAAATTCAAAATGGCGGCAATACCCCTATCGTTTGTTTATTCCAGTGGAAAGATTAATTGCGGCTTAATATGAGTTGCAAATGCATATACAGATATTTTTAGAATAGCCTAGACTTTTTATTATCCTTTTTCACCTATTCCTATGGGATTCGTTCCCTGCGATGCTCGCGTTTTGGCCGGTTTCCTGGATTCAACTTTGGACTCTTCACGATCACCGTCAAAGGACAACAATATTTTTGACGAAAGCCGGGTCACTAGAAAGAACGGCCTTTATTCACAGCTCAATGCAGCGGAGAAATAAGACACTATGGGTCCTTTGAAATTGTTTAGACACCTGGAAGTTATTTTATTTTTTTTTTACCGAAAAGATAAAGCAAAATTATGTTTTCTCCAGCAAGACTTTCTAATTTATAAAAATTTCTTCAACATGAGCTAAATGAACTGTAGTGTCTGCATTCATGTTCTTTTCATTGCAATTTTAATATCAATATGACCGAGCAGGATTTTTTTTCTTTTTTCTTTTCAATGGTTACTGTGGTTGATCTGAATAAGATAATGAAATTTTTAAAATTAGGGGAATATATATAAAAGAAGAGAACTTTGATTGCAAATATGTTAGTTGGAAAAAATAGTGATTATACTATATGATCTTTTTACTATATAGGTTAGAAAAGTGATGCGTGGTCAAAAGTGCTACAAAGGAGTAAAAACCCAGATCTTTCCATTAATAAATTTTATTGACACTATCAGGGACATATACTTTGCTTGAGTACATATTTGTTCGTCAAAAATCTTGTTTGTGAAGCTGCACTTTGTTTGATTCAGGATCAATCAATCTTTTCTGAAGAGAAATGAACAATAAAGTATGTTAACATGTCACTACTTCAACACTGCCTTAGCCAACATAACTAAGAAGAAACTCAACTTCATATAAAAAAAAAACAAACTGAAAAATACTTCACTGTGAAACAACAACCGTGTCTTCAAATATATATCCATTAAATTCATGCAAAATGTAGACCTGATGAGAAGTTTATAAGAAAAGAAACAAACGATAATTACAATGAAACTATAATGTTATAATATATAATTATCTATAATGAATGAGATCTGTATTTGAGTGTTCTCTCATAATTCTGACAGAAGATCAAAATTGGAAACTGCATATCCTAAACAACTGCATTCATCAACATGATCCAACTAAAATAAGACTCAAAGTTTACTCCAAACTTTAAACTCCTGTAAGGTTAATTTGT